AACATTGTGAATGGCATGTTCATTCACATGCCATTGAGGGGCCCCGAAGTCTCTTCCCATGCTTCAGAGTGTTGCACTGAGAGTTCTAGCAGGCCGTGCCCCTGGCTCGGCTCCTGGCAGGCTGTCAGGCCTGCAGCGCACAGCAGCTCAACCCTGTCTCCGGTTCTGTAAGCCAGCCTCAGTTATAAGCACTCACGGTTCCGGGGTCAGTCCAAGACTTGAGACAAGCACATGCATGTAAAATTAGGCATCCTTCTCTACCTCTCGTCTTTCTGAGACTTCCCTACGCTCTGGAGATTCTGGCTGCCCTGATTCTAGCGGCCACAAAGATGGCGGGTCTTCTCATGGGGTCTCTGCCCCCTGGAGCTGCCAGTGTCATGCCGCCTTTGGCCAAAGCTACCAAAGATCCAGAAACTCCTCCTCCTGGGTTGCTGGTTCCAGTTTCCCTTTCTCAAATCTGCCTGCTTTTGCTCAGTCTCCAGAGGCCTCAGGCACTTGTCTTTTGTATCTCACCTAGAGTTTGTAGCAGGAACTCTTATCCAGAGTTCCTCTCAGGGCGATCGGCTTGTTAAGGGAGGGCTTCTTTCTCCCCCCGGAAACAGAAACCTCACCAAAGCTCCCTCTGTCTTTACTTCTCCTCTCCAGCTGATTGCCCCCACCCCCCGCCCTGTGCCATCTCTCCTTGCCTGTCTCTCCCTTCTACACTGCTCTTGCTGAAACTCACTGCTCCAAGCCAGGCTGTAGTCTAAAGTCTCCTTCGTTGCTAATTCTAAGCAACCAGAGGACACATCCTGGTAGCCTCAAGTCCTAAGAAGTCTGTGTTTGAAAACATTGTAACTAAAGGCATACTGTTGCTTCCTCCATTACAAAGGTGACTACTACTTAATGACACCCACTGGGTCCTGGGTGCTATGTGATGTAATTTACACTGGCCGCTTCCTTCCATCCCTGCAAGTCCTTGGATGTTAGTGGTGGTGTTTGGTCTCCCCACTTCACAGATGATGATTGGCTAAATTGTCCAAGGTCAACGAGGTGATAGATGGCAGAGAAAGAAGGCAAAACCATAGGCCTTTTATACCTGTTAAAAAAAAAAACAAAAACTGCAGCTAAAGACATGCTGCAATTCAGTTTTTTATGTTAGTTTCATTTCATTCAAAGCTTCAGCGTTATATGAAATAGATCATCTAGGATTGTTTTTCTGGAACTCAGGAACTCTGAGTCATTGATCTGCTTTGGAACAAATTTGGTAGATCATCTACATAACCTGATTTCTTGAGCTTTGTTTAATTATTCCGGGGAAGAAGAATGTGAGATTTTCAACTCTACAAAATTATGCCAAAATATTGTTGTATTCTGATACGCCTTTCAGTAAACAGTCTAGTTGTAGATGCTCATTTAGAAGTGGCAGTTATCCTCGTGAGCATACACGTGGCCCCATCATGGATTTGCCTGGAAGAGCTGTGTGCCTCTGCACGGGGGTCAGGCCTGGGTGTAGGGTTCAGCAGCAGACAAGGCCTGAGGACACTCTCAACAGCTTTGTTTGATTCAGAACCTGGGAAGACTTTAAATGTCAAGGTTTAGATAATTGTGTTTAGCCCTGAAGACATAAAATGTGAATAAGCCAGTTATAGTTTGATATTTTCAAACATTTTCTTTCAAAGGCCTCTTCAAGTCCCTATTTTCACTTCTCAATGACAGTTCCAGAATGTTTCCCTTCCCCTATTTCTTGGTCATTTTGACACCAGCGGCCAAACTGTATTCCCAGTTCTAGCAAACTGCTGGATACCAGTCAGCATTCAGATGGAACGTGAATCAGAAGTTGAGTGAAGGTATTTCGAATATGGCAGCTGCACCTTAGCTGTGTTCTGAGTTGTTACGTGATCTCGAATCATTTTGCTTCCATGTTTCTTAGAATTCAAAATATGGAAGTTGCTACTTTATAAAAATCTGGGAGGAGTTCTTTGCAATCAAAGTACTGTGCTTAGTAAGAGAGTTTCACATTTGTACTTAACGGCCGGACGACTCGGGCCAAGCCGCTGGTTTCTCAGACACGTGGTGGCAGAGTTAGAGACACAGGAATAAGGCCCACATGCCGTCTGCTCCAATAACGAGTGTAGACCTGGACACTGGAAGTTCTGGAGGGTTTAGATACATTCCAGAGTCTGGGAGGGCTGCTATACCCCAGCTGTGTTGTTAGCTGTTGAAAGGAAATTGGCCCAGTTACCTTAAGTGAACATTATTACAAAGCAGAATCTACGGTTGTTAAGGTTGTTTTTTAAACAAAAACCACTTTAATTTTGGAATAATTTTACACTTAATTTTACATTTTTAATTTTACACTTTTACACTTAAAAGTTGCAAAAATAAAATCCCCATTAAGCCACTCACCCAACTTTTCTTTGTGTTAACATCTTATGTAACCATAGTGCCGACATCAAAACCAAGGTATTTATGTTGGTACAGTATTAATAAGTAAACTATAGTCTTTTTATTTTTTAAAGATTTATTTATTTGACAGAGAGAGACGCAGCGAGAGAGAGAACACAGCAGAGGGGAGAGGGAGAAGCAGACTCCCTGATGTGGGGCTCAATCCCAGGACTCTGGGATCATGACCTGAGCCAAAGACACTTAACGACTGAGCCACCCAAGTTCCCCTAGTCTTTACTCCAGTTACACCAGCTCTTCCACTCAGCTCTCTTTTCCCTTTGCTCTGAGATGCCGTGCGGGATCCCACAACACACTGTGTTGTGTTTCTTTAGTCTTTTTTTTTTTTTTTTTTAAAGATTTTATTTATTTATTTATTTATTTATTTATTTGACAGAGAGAGAGAGAGAGAGAGATCACAAGTAGGCAGAGAGGCAGGCAGAGGAGGTGGGGTGGGGAGCAGATCCCTGCTGAGCAGAGAGTCCGATGGGGGACTTGATCCCAGGACCCTGAGATCATGACCTGAGCCGAAGGCAGAGGCTTAACCCACTGAACCACCCAGGCACCCCTCTTTAGTCTTTTTTAACCTGTGATGTTCCCTTGGTCTTTCCTTGCCTTTCATGACCATGATATTCTTGAAGATAATTGGTGCATGTATCTCTTCATTTGGATTTGTCTGATGATTTCTCATGATCAGGCTGAGGTTGGGCATTTTTGGCAGGAACACCACAGACGTGATGCACGCCATTGAGGAGGACATGCTGCCTCCATGTTTAGTACCAGTGACACTAACGTTGATTACCTGGTTAAGGTGGGGCCTCTTGGGTTTCGCCACTATAAAGTTGCCGTTCTTTCCTTTTACTTTACAAAAATCCTGGAAGAGATCATTGAGAATATGCACCATTTCTTCTCAAACTTTGACCACTAATTAAGCACCCGTCGGTGGACCCATCCTGCGGTCACTATAACTGTGGTGGTTTCCTGATGCTGGTCTATTTCCCTCATTCTGTCTGCATTTGTTAACTGGAATTCTGTAAAGAGAAGACCTGTCCCTTCTCCCTGTTTCTTTTTTTGATGTATTCAGTTACTTGCTTGTATCAGTATAGACTCAGGAATATTTATTTTATTCTGTGAGTTATAAATCCGGTACTCTCATTATTTATTTTGTTGCTCAGTTGTTCCAACTTTGGCCATTGGGAACACCTTCCTATTAGCTCCGTGTCCCTTGGACACACCCGCCCTTCTCTAAGCACTTCGTCTCTGGCAGCACAAGATGCCTCAGATGCCTCTTGTGTTTTCTCTCTCAGCGGGGGAATCAGCCACCTCTTTGTGGAGCCCTGGATCCTTTTTGTGCTTATTAAATTGATTTTCAGCAGAAGTGCCAAGGCAATTTAGTGAGGAAAGAAACATCTCTTCAGCAAATGATGCTGGAGCGACTAGATATCTGTGTGGAGGACCGGTGAACTTCTGCCTCACACCACGCCCAAAATGCAACTTGAAATGCATTGTAAGACCTGAACATAAAAGCTGAAACTATAAAATCTCCAGTAAAAAGTATAGGGAGGAAAACCTTTGCAACCTTGGAATAGGCAGGGATTTCCTAGAAGGACACAGAAAGCAAGAACTGTCTAAAAAACGAAACAACAGCAACAACAACAACAAAAAAATGGAACTTGTCAAAATTAAAACCTGTTCTTTGGAAGGCTCCATTAAGAAAATGAAAAGATAATCGATAAGCTGGGGAAAATATTCACGATATATGTATCTAACAAAGGACTTGTATAAAAATACAAAGAATCTTACAGTTCAGTGGGAAGACAAAACCCCAATTTAAAAAATGAGCAACTCTTTGAGCAGACGTTTCACAAAAGAAGACAGGTGAAGTGGCCGGTGAGCGCACACAGAGATAGCCGGCCTCCCTCTTCTCAGGGAAGCCCACACCACTAACACGGCCATAGTCAGAAAGACCGTCAGGAGTGAGAGCAGGAGGTGATGCCAAGCGTTTGGAATTCCCAGATGTTGCTACTCGGAAGGCAGAATGGCACAGCCCTTTGGAAAACAGTGCAGCATTTTATTATCCGATGGAATATACGTTAAGCCATATAACCAGTCGCTTCCGTGACATGATATCCACCAAGACGATTCGCTCTCCAGTGCCCACAACAGCTTTATTCACCATAACCAGACACTGGCAGCTCCCCCACATGAACATGGGCAGGTGCGCAGATAAACAGATTCTAGTCTCTCCGTGTCGTGGAATACCACTGAAAAAGAAACAGGTTATTGATGCCGGCAGCTGTGTAGATGAATCCCAGGAACATGGTGCTGAGCAAAAGAAGCAGGTAGAAAAGCGCTTGCCCTTTACGTTTCAGTATAGGCGACATTCTAGCACAGGCCAGACTAGTATCCAGAGTGGCAGGAAGGAACTCAGCGGTTAATTGCCCGGCAGTGGGGATGCGGGTTGAGCTGAACCGGCACGGTGCCTAGTACTGTTGGCTCACCAAGTTTTGTCGGCTTCCTAGACCTTGTGGTCATCCTCTTGACGTCCCTGGTTTTGCCCGTGTGTTCGCTTGCAGATGGATCTATCTTAACGACCAGAACTTGTGCATCCCCGCCAGCTCCTCTTTTGTGTACGGAGCTGTGCCCATAGGAGCCAGTATTTACGTTATCGGAGACCTCGATACAGGTAAGACCCTCGTGGTGATGTTGCTGGATGTGTTTCCCAGCGACGCCAAGGCACGTTGAGTCACCTCTGCTGCTTCTCACGGTCTAGGTACCAATTACGACTACGTGCGTGAGTTTAAAAGAAGCACAGGGACCTGGCACCACACGAAGCCACTCCTTCCGTCCGACCTTCGCCGCACCGGGTGCGCAGCCTTACGCATTGCAAATTGCAAGCTTTTCCGCCTGCAGCTCCAGCAAGGCTTGTTCCGTATCCGTGTCCATTCACCTTGAAGAGGGGCCGGAGCAGAGGCGAAGCTCCCGACCAAACGCACCGTGACACAGCTTTCTGCGAGGGGAACAGAGGTGGCAGCCGAAACTTGCTCTGTGTGCCGGGCCTTGTATGGTAACTCTGGTGGTTTTACTGTAATGCTTAGAAGCCTGAGGTTCCGCTCTCGTTGGGGAGAACCCGTAACTGTGGAAAAAGCTCCCTTGGAGGAATCCCGTCCTCCACTTAGATGTGTCTGCAGACAAACGGAGGCTAGTCACTGTCAAAGGGAGAAGGGAAGTGGGAATCAGTATCATGTAAAATATTGAAGTTAAAATCCTAAGGTGCATTTTCCCTGAAGGGAACTCATATCTGAGTGACTGCTGTGTTCGAGTACCTGGCTTTGGTAAACAAACAAAAATCCGTATATGCAAATCAACATATCCAAACTACCAAGATTGCTTTCCTACTGCACTTGGAAGGAAATATCATGCCTAACCCTGCCTGACCGATTAAGGTTTGTGCCTAAAATGTTAGATTGGACTGTATGCCGGTTAGTGTCCATTTACTACTAGTACTGTGTCTGAAGACTCTTTTTTAAACTGTATTATCATGAATTGAAACTAAGATAAAATTTCTGGTTTACGACATTCTATCTTAGTCATCTAAAGGTTCAGTAAATCCATGAGTCAGGTTGCAGCCCTCGTGTGAATTTAAGGGAAGTTGCTAACTTCTGTATTAATTCAGATACATCATGCCATAATTTCTGGGGTAGTTCTCCTGGAGTTGTGAAGGATTCATGCAGTGCTGTTCCTCCTTGCAAATAATCAGAACCATTTTATAAACACGAGGTTATTAAGCAGAGTAGGAGATTTTCTAGAAGAAAGACGTAAGTCAGACAAATCATAAAGGTCTGCTGTGACTACAAAAACTGTCCAGACAAAATATATAGGGATCAAAAACTTCAATCTGTCTGAAAGCACACAAAGTCTTGTTTACTGCTGTTTAGGATTGAAAACTTGTCTTGGAACACACACCTGCGTAAGAATCTAGTCTTTGTAGCAGAATTTTCTCAGTGCCGTTTACTAGCAAGAGTTTTAGACAAATTATGTTATAAGTAAAGTTTGGCTGGTAGAATAAACTACCTCAACTTAATTTCATTCTGTTCATAGTAGAGCGAATTATCTCTTCCTCTACCCTCTGCCCCCCCCCACTCCCATGTCACCCCACTTCCCGTTGGGGGAAAAAAGTCTGTCTTTAGTAGCACTTATTTTATAAGATACTTTGTTTTCCATTCAAATTATGCCACCTTAGTGTGCAATCAGAGACTTCAAAGTGTGATGACATCATAATTTGAATTTTATGCAATATCAGATTTCTAATCAATTTAATACAGAGCTCTTCATTTCTAATTGTTTCCTACAGCTTTTTCCCCCCTCTTGGTAAATGGCTGTAAGAAGCAGTATTTTGTCTTAATAATTAATAAATGTATAAATGTATCCTTTGGTTACAAATTTGAGAATAGGAGTTTCTTCTGGAAACTTCCTAGATGGAATGCTTGTATGCTGTTAATAACATGCGTATGAAACATGGCTTATGTTCCCCTCCCCCCAGCACCATGAACAGAAAAAAGGGTTACCCCCTCTCTGCAGATTTTTTTTTTTCTTACACCTACTAGGAGTCAGTACAATGCTATAAAAGTTGCCGGGAGAAGCCTTGCCTGTGGGGGTTCTAAAGAGTGTTGTGTGTGGCAGGAGATCCTAGTAGAAGAAGGCATGCGGTGTTTATCTTCTGTATCAGAGGCACTAGGCCAGATTTGCCACACGTTCCTGTAACGCAGTCAAATCCAGTGTATAAAGCAAAGCTGACCTTTTTTTCTTTCTATTGTGTACCAGTCAGCTGTAGTCTGCACACCTTCCCAGTGATGCCTGGGGTATCTTTTCATCAAAACAAGCCACGCGACCACAGCAGAGAAAGCAAACTTCTTTTTCCAATTAGAGATTCATTTTTTTAGGGGAAACAAATCGCTGAAAAAGTGAATTTTCTTTAGTAGCATATCCTGTACAGAACAGAACCTTGGCCTTCAGAAGTTGCAGCTGGGATACGTTAAAGCAGTGACTGATGTCCTATGGAAGCCGTGACAGTCAGCAACTCTCTCTCTTTAATTTCTGAAGCTTAAAATTCTTCCCAGTCTACGCCAGGCCTCTCCAAGGAGACAGTTCATTGTTTAGGAGTGAATGAGTCCCTGTTGCAATATTTTCAGTGCCTGCATGACTTGGTCAATTCATTTTATAAAAACAGTTCTTTTTTAAGTTTTTTATGCAGTTCATTGACACAGTAGCTGCAGAAATTAGGCAATGTTTTTTAAAATAAATTTGCCACATATTATGGGATGCTATCACCAACAGTAGCTGCTAAGTGCCAAACTGTTATTTTCCTATATATAATAGATATATTAAAATACCACGTTGAAGTGTAGGAATATATTTAATTTTATTATGTTCGGAAATTAATTATGACCTTTTTTGATAAGTGACCGTGACTTCGGTATTGTGAAATAAATTTTAACTCATTTCATGCAGGTTTAACGTTCCGCTTATGCCTTGAAACATCTTTTCTTGATAAATTTTTTAATACTTCTTTTTCACAAGGCACTTTTACCAGGCATAGGTTGGAATTGGCAGTTGAGGATAGATCTTAAAACTTTAAATAAAATACCTTTGGGGGAAGTGCAGTGTATTTTCATTATCCCTCCAACAGAAGGAGAGTTGTCTCAGGTTAGAGTCAGTGAATATTTAAATGATCTCTCCTAGGCTGCGGTCTAAAGTAGGCTTGTTTGTTTGTTTGTTTAATGCATCCAAATATAGATTTTTCGAAGAGGAAAGTGTTTAATTTAAAATGAAGTGGTTTGTTTGGGATTTTTTTTTGTGAGTGTGTGAGAGTGCTTGTATCCTGCGAGAGGGAAAAGCGTGAGAGGGAGAGAATGTGTGTGTGTGTTATGTGACTTGGTAAGTGTGTTTCTATATGTTTACTTTTTCAATTGTAGTTCAAGACTACATATATTACTGTCTTCTGGTGCTTCAGATAAATTCTTGAGCCCATGGCCCTTCAGTTTATACTACTGAGTTAAACTCACGTTGGGTGTAAATATTCATAGAGTTGTAGTTGGTAGGAAGTCTTACTTGGTGTTTCCATTTCTTTAGGGGATTAAGAACAGTGTTCACCAACTAGTATAGTTGGTAGGCTATAAAGATTTGGCCTAAGAAATTTTTAAATTCATTGCTTATTTCATCAGTTCTTTATTTCATTGCTGTGAGGCATTGATAGCTAACAGTAGGCTTTGCTCAGATGCAACAACAAAAAAGAGTATTTGGGCAATGATGAATGGTCTATTCTTTGTACTGAATGGTCTGGTTACGTCACCACTTCAACAACGCTTTGACGGTGCCATTTTTATAATTTATAAGTGGAGGGTGGGGTTCCCTAGGCAACATACAGGAAGCACATCCTTACACTGACCTGGTAGAGATAGGGCTGTCTTTGCCATGGTGCCTCATTACTTGTGGTAGTAATTGGGTTTTTGGAGACATTCTTTAGCTGCCTTGGTCTGTTGGGGTTCCATTTGGTGCATTCCTGCTTCAGTGTACCCAACCAAAAAGTTTTCCAAGGAGCGCTGAAAACACTGCAGTATTGCCTTCTTGCTGGCCTGCTTGATTCCAGAGAGTCTCCTGTGGTCAGATAAAGACATCTGATTATCTGGGAAAAGAATGAGGTGGCACTTGGCATGGATTTAAAAGGCGCTGGAACCCCCTTAAGAAGCACCTGGTGGGGGGGAGGGGTAAGACTGCCTTGTTCTGTGGCTGCCCCTCACGAAGTTAGGGAGCCTTCGGGAGCCAGGGAGAGAGGAGACTCCGATTATTACAGAAAAGCTGTCCTGGGTTTAATCAGCAAATGCTTCTAGTGCCTTGGCCAAAAATTCTGTTGGGATTTCTGGGGAGCTTTCATGCTGCCCTCCCTCTAGATGGTCAACTCCTTGTGGGCAGCGACCCTGTCTTGGCCATCTGCTAATCCCAGTGCTTGGCACACAGCAGGCAGCCAGTAAATGGTTGGCCACCGCAGTGCAGTACTCTTGTTGTCAAAACAATGTTTATCACTGGATTGAGAAGTCCTCTCCATGAGCGACTCCTTTTGCTGGAACTTTGTGCACAGATGGGCTGGCCTCATGTTGTAGGGTGAGAACCTAGTACAGAAAAAAAAAAAAAAAAAATGTAAAGTGCCTGACATATGGATGCAGACCTCTTTGGTGTCCATATGGTTCTGTAGGATTTGGGGACCCTATCCTTAGCACACCTAATGCCGTTTATCACACTTAGTGTTGGGTTTTAGTTATTGTTTTGTATATGTGGTTCCAAGCCTTTTCCAGAACATACTGCTTGGATCCTCACATCTCCGTGATGGGTGCAGCGCCCCCCGCCCTCGGACAGGGAGCAGTCTCTCAGGCCCAGTAGATGCGGCCTCATTCCCCACCTCACATGTGAGCAGAAACCATTATCATTTCACTGTTCAGCCTTTGAGACTCCTACTTAGTTTTCTAGGTGTACAAGTATTTTTAGTCGTAAAATAATCTTTTGTGGTATAACTTAAACCCCCAAACATGTTCTTCACAAGTTACACAGATGTAAGCTGAAAGGTGTTTGGTTTTCTTCGTCCATTAGCCAGAGGAAATTTAAGAATTTGTGAAGGTCGTAAGAACAGGAGTACTAAGTATTCGTGTTTGACAGAGAAGCACTTTTTCCTTTTAAAGATCTGAAGCGTCATTTATACTACTTTTCTTACCACATCTGAAATCAGTGAGGGAGAAGGGATTGTGTCTTAGAGTGTTGGAGAAGGTATTTTGCTAGCTTGCTAATAACGCCTGAAGTACTCTTTCTAGCCGGTTCAGGAATGAAAGAGATGTGTGGTATGATGGTGAGGGGTGACCCACTTGCCCATATGGAAGAAGATCATGAAATCAGGTTGAGGCTTTGCTGCCTGCTGGTGGTCAAGTCAATACTATGGAAATAGAGACTTATGCGATTTTTTTGGCAAGCCAACTGGTAAAACTTTTAAAACTTGTGTATTTTTCGGAAGCGATTCTATTTTGAATCCTAACTCCATCTCAGCTTTGTCCCAGGGCCGTCCCTGTGTTTATGTGACACCTAAGGAGCTCGGTTACGACTCTGTGTTCCTTGGTGTAAGTGCGCGTGATTGAGGAAAGTGTGTTCGCCTTCCCTTCCGTCCCTGAAGTTCTCTGACTGATCTGATTGGGTCTTTAAACTTCCCCCCTTCCTCATCACATCACATATCTGCAAATAAAACAGCCTTGCATCATGGCCTACGGCAGAACACCTGTCACCTTCGCTTTTTCTTTTTTGAGATAAAAACTAATACTTTAAAATTGCTGCTCAGCTGAAATTTAGGCTAATTATAGAGTTCAATATTGATGTCGTCATGGCCCAGCGAAGCTGCTGTAAATGCTTCCGTCAGTGTGATCTGTGTTAGAGAAGTCACGAGCCAGAGTGAGGAGGCAGCCCGCGCAGTCGGTGCGCACGCTGCCTTCGTTCGGATCCGGCCATTCACGTGACCCGTACTGACACACAGCCACTCCAGATCATTCGGACCCCAAGCAGATGCAGGCTCATCTTTCTTTCTGGTTGGCAAATTATATTTATTAGATCTTTATTTTTAGCATTTCCACAAAAATCATAGATTTGAAAATACCTTGTTTTTATTTTTCCTCCTCATCAATTACAAATAAGGTGAACGTTAGAACCTTGCTTTACGTTTTTTCCAGTTAAACCTGTGAACACATAAATATGACTATACGTAGCTCTCATTATCATGTTTCCTGTTTAGGGGGATGAGAATTACATGCACTTATTCCCTTGTTCTTTGTGTTTATAGGAAAAACTCCTCTCGGCTACCTCATTATGTAGTGTTGTGCTTGACCCCCTGCCAACTTAGGAGAATTCAACACATTCTGTCCTTTAACAAAAGCCTGGAAGCAAGCAGCGGGCGGTCTTGAGGAATACAATTCTTTAAGGCATATTTTCCATTTTACTACTTTTTTTTTTTTTAAATAGGCACTTTTAATCAGGAGGAACAATCATTCTCCTAGAGCTGCTGCAAAGTGATTACTTGAAACTCAACTTGAACTTTAAAGAGTCTTTAAAAGACTGTGTTTTCATAACGTAGAGAAGTAGTATATTGAAACAGCACTGCTGTGTAAGACAGAGGGCCTGCGCCCCGTCCCGTTAGGACCAGACGGGAGAAGGTGTCTATGGAATCAGACCCAGCATTTGGAGTTGGATGCTTGGGGCTGTTGTGCTCCATTGTCTACAAGGTGCTACTGCGAGCAGCTTAAGGAGCTCTTAAGTGTAATTCCATGAATTTGTTTCCCAAGAATCTTTAATTTTGATGAAAATTGAGGTTCATTAGTAGATTCCTCTTCTCTTTTGGTTCTCACAGTCTAGGGTTTTATTTTTATTTTTATTTTTTAAGATTTTATTTATTTATTTGACAGAGATCACAAGTAGGCAGAGAGGCTGGCGGGGGGGGGGGGGGGGGGGGAAGCAGGCTCCCCGCTGAGCAGAGAGCCCGCCTCGGGGCTCCATCCCAGGACCCTGGGATCGTGACCTGAGCCAAAGGCAGAGGCTTTAACCCATTGAGCCACCCAGGCGCCCCAGTCTAGGGTTTTAAAATGAGATCTAAAAGTGTTTCCGAAGTACAGGGTTGAGGTTGACCAAACAACACAGAATTGTGTTCTACTTAAAATGATGAGTGAGTGGATTTGCTTTGAGCATCAGTGGAACGTGCCTTCTGCACGTGGCCCTGTCCTGGCCTGCGTCTGTCAGCTTCCCTGGTCCGTAAGCTCGGGGGAGCCATGAGGTCCACCGATTCCTGCAGTCAGACTTCCCTTCCCAGAGTGGTTTCTCACGGGAATTACGCAGCATCCCCGGTGCCCAAAAGAGTTACACCCATTCCTAAACACCGAGCGCACCGGGAGTCACTTAAGGACCAGGTGAGACCTAACAACGGAACTGTCATCGTGCTCTAATGTGATCTAGATTTCCAGCCTGTACTTTTTTAGAATGAAAGGCAGAGCTTCCCCCCGCATGACAGCACATCCGCATCTCCTGGGACTAGCAGCCGGCGTGAGACATTCCCCAAGTGGTTTCCGAGCAAATCAAGACTTGGGGCCTTCGAGCCCCAACCTTTTTATTTCAGTTATTTTGAGGAAAACATGTATAAATACTTGGTGTACTTTCCCGAGCAAACCTAGTAGCTACAAGGATGCCCAGGCCATGGTGCAGACTGTGGATGCAGACTGTGACCTTCAGGAGTCCTGCAGCCCTAGAGCCCAGTTGCTTACCTGCAAATGTAGGGTAAACGGGGGTGTTTATCTCTTTGGGCTACTTTGAAGATCAGGGACATAATGAAGGTGAGAACCTGACAGCCCATGTTTCACCCGTAGCGATGGCCACTGTGGCCGCTCACCTCCGCCTCGGGTCGCTGATGGCGAGCCCCAGGGAGGGGCAGCACTGCCCTCACTGTGTCTCCCAGCCTTCGCACTTCCCCATTCGAACCTCTGCTGCTGCGAGGTCTATAAGTAAACGAACATTTGTGTTGATAAAATGATTTACTTTCTGGACCTGTGCCACTGCTCTCCTTCCACTGCTCTAATATTTGAATTCAGGATGATTCTGTAGAGCTGAACCATCCTATAATATGTGCTTGGAACATTGAGAGTTGTTTTAGATAAACCTCAATTCAGAATTTGTGTGATGAAACCCTTAAAACTCTTTACCAAAGTTGAATCTTTTTCCCCTAAGATGTCACAGGTAGTGTCCTACACTGGTCGAATAAACTGTAGATATTTTAGATCTCCGTTCCAGATCCGTATACCTGTTCTCTCTC